CAAAAATGCTAATAACTTTTGAATAAATCTGGCTATTGAAATGACACTGGTATTAATAGATTCCTTGGGTCAAGCTGAGAACGTAGATACCAAGTTTTACTTATTTGTCCGAACTTCCTGTCCGTCATCTTGATTTTCAGTCAAAACCTACTTTTTCCAACTCCTCCTAGACCGTTTGTCCGATTTTCACCAAAATCGAATCGTATCCTCTCCAGACTGTGCCGACTAAAAGTTATGGATTTCGTGTCGATAGACGAACCCGTTTTTGTATAGTGCAGCATCAAAGTTGAGGCATGCTGCCAAAATGACTATTCAGGGTTTATCTCTGCAATGCCTTGACATTTTGACAACAAACTGTGTGTGTGTCATTGCCACCTCACTCTGACCACACCACATACATTTCGTAACTGCACCACCTATTGGTCGAAAGTGATAATCCATTAAATCATATTTTTAGTTAATGTATTAGATTTTTCACCCATTTTGCCAAAATTCATCTTTAAATGTCTTTAATTGCTCATTGTTGCAGTTGGTCTGACACTCCCAGCCATGTTGGCATCTGATATCATCTTCTTGCGCTTGGCCCCGATAATGGCTGCTTGCAGCTATATTTCTTCTTCTTCTTCTTCTTCCGACTGGGCGTCTATGGCAGCCCATAGAACCGTATCCGGGAAAGTTGTTCCGGTTTGACATTCTGATAGAGGACAGTCCCAACAGTAATTGCACCAATTTTGGTGTCTCTAACTCATTGCCTCTAGCGCCACCACCTGTCCAAAATTTCAAAATCATTATGCTAATAACTTTTGAACTGTAAGGCCTATCAACAAAATTCTTTTTTCCTCTGATTTGTGAGCTCATGACGATTCGATCCCACCCTATGACGTCATTTTCCGTCATAAAAATATGGCCGCCATTTTGAATTGTTTAAAAAACCTACTTTTGCGAACTCGTCCTAGACGGTTTGTCCGATTCTCACCAAAATTGCACCAGATCATCCCCAGGCAGTGCCGACAAAAAGTTATGGAATTCAAGTTGATTCGCTTAACGGTTTTCGATAAACGCGCAAATTAATTTTACGTAGCGCTTGCGAAAACAGACGTAAGGCTGTATCTCCGCAACGCTTAATCGTATTCAGACCAAACTTGGTACATGTCATCACAAGCATGACCTGAGGCTACATGCTGCGTTTCGGCGCAGCGCCACCTACTGGTCCGGAGATATGAAAAACGGTTATTTTCGCCCATAACTTCTGAACGGTTTGTCCAAAAATCATAAAAGTGGTCTCTTTAGATTCAGGGCGTCATGCCGAGTCGACTGATATCCAATTTTCCCAGATCGGCCATTTTGGCTGTCGGCCATTTTGAATTATGTGCTAAAATGCTGTATTTTTTGAACGCATGAACGAATTGTTACGAAACTCGGTATGGGTCATCAGTACGATGCCCTGAAGGAGCCTGAGAAGTTTCGAAACAGCGCCACCTAGTGGTAAAATTTATTTTTCAAATGCTTATAACTCTGGCTGTGGTTGACGTATTTTCACGGGAGTCATCTCGTTGAGGTCCTGAATCGTTGTCGAGTCCAGAGATACCAAATATGCTAGGTTTCGACTTACGGTTTGTGGAGCGTTGTGATTTAGCGCTTAAAAAACATTTGCCGATATCTTCGAAACCGTTAGTCCGATCGAGACGAAACCACCGTCAGAAAATTGGAAACATAGGTCGATAGCTATACGCCAATGCCCAAATGCCAAAATATTGATAGTAAGGGGTCGTAAAATTCAAACAAAGTCACGTAGCGGTCATTTTTTACGTGTTTTTTCACATAAATGTCTATAACTCTGAAGTTAATCGAGATATCTTCACCAAAATTGACACACAGATGTAGGGGCTCACTCTGAGGACACATGAAAAAAATTGTGGGATTTTGCCTCTTGGTGGCGCTATAATAGAACAAAACATGAAAATCCCATTGATTTCAATGCAGTTTTGTGATGTGAAATGCTATACTTAATGAACACATTGCTGTAACATTACGAAACTCAGAATTTGTTACCAGCACCTTGCCTTGAAGGTGCTCAAAAGATTTCAAGACAGCGCCACCTGTTGGTCAAAAGTTAAAATTACATTTCCAAAAATGCTAATAACTTTTTAATAAATGTGCTTATTGTAATGACACTGGTCTTAATAGATTCCTTGGGTCATGCCGAGAACATAGATACCAAGTTTGACGTATTTGGACGAACTTCCTGTCCGCCATCTTTATTTACTTTCAAAACCTTCTTTTTCGAACTTCTCCTAGACCATTCGTCCGATTTTCACCAAAATCGAATCGTGTCATCTCCATACCGTGCCGACTAAAAGTTATGGATTTCGTGACGATAGAGGAAACCGTTTTCGTATACCGCAGCAGCAAAGTTGAGGCATGCTGCCAAAATGACTATTAAGTCTTTATCTCTGCAATGCCTTCACATTTTGACACCAAACTTTGTATGTGTCATTGTCACCTCACTCTGACCACATCACATCGATTTCGTAACTGCACCACCTATTGGTCGAAAGTGATAATCCATTAAATCATCTTAAAAGTTACTGTATATATGATTTTTTAGCCATTTGCCCAAAATTATCTTAAAATGTCTTTAATTGCTCCTTGCTGCAATTGGTCTGCCACTCCCACCCATGAGGGCATCTGTTGCCGCTTCTTGCGCTTGGCCCCGGTAATGGCTGCTTGCAGCTATATTTATTATTATTCTTCTTCCGACTGGGCGTCTATGGCAGCCCATAGAACCGTTTGCGGGAAAGTTGTTTTGGTTTGACATTCTGATAGAGGACAGTCCCAACATCAATTGCACCAATTTTGGTGTCTCTAACTCATTGCCTCTAGCGCCACCACCTGTCCAAAGTTTCACTTTTATTATGCTAATAACTTTTGAACCGTTTGGCCTATCAACAAAATTCTTTTTTCCTCTGATTCCTGAGCTCATGACGATTCGATCGCACCCTATGACGTCATTTTCCGTCATAAAAATATGGCCGCCATTTTGAATTGTCCAAAAAACCTACTTTTGCGAACTCGTCCTAGACGGTTTGCCCGATTCTCACCAAAATTGCACCAGATCATCTCCAGGCATTGGCGACAAAAAGTTATGGAATTCAAGTCGATTCGTCAAACCGCTTTCGATAAACGCGCAAACAAATTTTACGTAGCGCTTGCGAAAACAGACGTAAGGCTGTATCTCCGCAACGCTTAATCGTATTCAGACCAAACTTGGTACATGTCATCACAAGCATGACCTGAGGCTACATGCTGCGTTTCGACGCAGCGCCACCTACTGGTCCGGAGATATGAAAAACGGCTATTTTCGCTCATAACTTCTGAACGGTTTGTCCAAAAATCATAAAAGTGGTCTCTTTAGATTCAGGGCGTCATGCCGAGTCGACTGATATCCAATTTTCCCAGATCTGCCATTTTGGCTGTCGGCCATTTTGAATTATGTGCTAAAATGCTGTATTTTTTGAACGCATGAACGAATTGTTACGAAACTCGGTATGGGTCATCAGTACGATGCCCTGAAGGAGCCTGAGAAGTTTCGAAACAGCGCCACCTAGTGGTAAAATTTATTTTTCAAATGCTTATAACTCTGGCTGTGGTTGACTTATTTTCACGGGAGTCATCTCGTTGAGGTCCTGAATCGTTGCCGAGTCCAGAGATACCAAATATGCTAGGTTTCGACTTACGGTTCGTGTAGCGTTGTGATTTAGCGCTTAAAAAACATTTGCCGATATCTTCGAAACCGTTAGTCCGATCGAGACGAAACCACCGTCAGAAAATTGGAAACATAGGTCGATAGCTATACGCCAATGCCCAAATGCCAAAATATTGATAGTAAGGGGTCGTAAAATTCAATCAAAGTCACGTAGCGGTCATTTTTTACGTGTTTTTTCACATAAATGTCTATAACTCTGAAGTTAATCGAGATATCTTCACCAAAATTGACACACAGATGTAGGGGCTCACTCTGAGGACACATGAAAAAAATTGTGGGATTTTGCCTCTTGGTGGCGCTATAATAGAACAAAACATGAAAATCCCATTGATTTCAATGCAGTTTTGTGATGTGAAATGCTATACTTAATGAACACATTGCTGTAACATTACGAAACTCAGAATTTGTTACCAGCACCTTGCCTTGAAGGTACTCAAAAGATTTCAAGACAGCGCCACCTGTTGGTCAAAAGTTAAAATTACATTTCCAAAAATGCTAATAACTTTTTTAAAAATGTGCTTATTGTAATGACACTGGTCTTAATAGATTCCTTGGGTCATGCCGAGAACATAGATACCAAGTTTGACGTATTTGGACGAACTTCCTGTCCGCCATCTTTATTTACTTTCAAAACCTTCTTTTTCGAACTTCTCCTAGACCATTCGTCCGATTTTCACCAAAATCGAATCGTGTCATCTCCATACCGTGCCGACTAAAAGTTATGGATTTCGTGACGATAGACGAAACCGTTTTCGTATACCGCAGCAGCAAAGTTGAGACATGCTGCCAAAATGACTATTAAGTCTTTATCTCTGCAATGCCTTGATATTTTGACACCAAACTTTGTATGTGTCATTGTCACCTCACTCTGACCACATCACATCGATTTCGTAACTGCGCCACCTATTGGTCGAAAGTGATAATCCATTAAATCATCTTAAAAGTTACTGTATATATGATTTTTTAGCCATTTGCCTAAATTCATCTTTGAATGTCTTTAATTGCTCCTTGCTGCTGTCGGTCTGAAACTTCCAGCCATGTTGGCATGTCTTGTCGTCTGCGTTTGCGCTTGGCCCCGGAATGGCTGCTTGCAGCTATATTTCATCTTGATTTTAGCCAAAGGATCTGCATGGGCGGGCTCAGAAAAGTCAGTTCTGAGAAATCAAATGACATTCAGACATTATCTGGATATTATCGCATGCTTCTTTAATGTTCCCTCTGTTTTGTGGCGCAGTGACCTAGAGCCGGAATGGCTGGATGAAGTCCAGAAGAACGGTGAACTCTTCTACCTGGAGCTGAGTGAGGGAGAAGAAGAAGCTCTGCTGGCCAGAGCATCTGCCAATCACTCGGCTGCGACCAATCACGTTCGTTTCAGCGAAAAGGAGGCGGAGATTATCACCGACAATGGTAAAAAGCAAGCAAACTCCAGCAACAAATCCAAAGCAAAACTCAAGAAGTTCACCAAGATCCTGAGACCAAAGCGGCGGCCATCTCAAAGGAAAGCCGCTGATGGGAAAGACGGAGCGTTTTCCCAGCATCCCACCTCCATCCTGAAGAATCAAGCGGGTCAGCAGCCTGGAGTCGTGGTCCAGCAGCAGCGTCTGAAGGACGTGTGTGTGTATCTGAACCCGAAGCGCCTCGGCAGCGCCTCTCCTCCATCTCCGGACAGAGGCGGCCTGTTAGAGGCCTTGCTGGGGGTCGTCCATCGGCCAGGAGGAAATACTGGGAAAAGAGAGGGAAAACTCATCATCCATGGTCTGGTCCCACACAGTCCTGCTAGCAAGTGTGCTGAGATTCTTATTGGTAAGCACAACTAGACAAGGAGCATCTTGTATTTTTACTAGGGATGATCAGACGTACAATAGGTTGAGGTTGGTAAGATTTAAAAAAAAAAGAAAAATGTTTTTTTAAAATTCACAGAGGCTGCATTTATTTGATCAAAATACAGAATTTTTTTGAAATATTGGCATATTTCCAATATTGGCATATTTCCAATATTGGCATATTTCCAATATTACAAATTTAAAAAAAGCTGTTTTCTAATTGTAATATATTTTAAAATGTAATTTATTCCTGCAATCAAAGCTGTATTTTCAGTCTTCAGTGTCACATGATCCTTCAGAAATCACTCTAATATGATGATTTGCTGCTCAAGAAACATTTATTGTTATTATCAATGTTGAAAACAGTTAATATTTTTTGTGGAAATCATGATATTTGTTCAGGATTGTATGAGAAAGTTGAAAAGAACAGCATTTATTCGAAATTGAAATCTATTGTAACATTATAAACATCTTTACGGTCACGTTTGATACATTTAATGCACCCTTGCTGAATAAAAGTGTTCGTTTTTTATATATATATATACAGTATATATAATAATAAAATGCCAAACTCTTGAACGGTAGTGTATGTTATTTGGCTGGTGGCTGGTAAAACATGCAAAAATATCTCCTGAACTTCAGATACCCAATCCAGAGACCAGAATATCATAGAAAATGTTGACTTGGTTCAGTAAGAAACCACCTAGCATCCATTCAAAACCATCCTAGCAATGCATTAACTCAGAGTTTTTGAACTCAGGGTTTCTTCAAAACAGTCTGGTTGATGTAATGAAACTGTAAAGTCGAGCTGTGGCTTGATGTTGTGGTCGGGTTTATTCATATTCCCTCTTACAACTGCCTGTTAAACACTCTAGTTTTATGTTCCCGGCACATTTGGTAATGAAATCATACGATTGGAAGTAACAAAAAAGCCGTTTATTCAATTTTCAGCCATGAATATTTTTCCGTTGATGTACTCAAACGATATTCGAGGGGAACCCGCAGTCACTCTCTCCCAGACACAGACCAAAGAAATTCCAGTCGGGTTACACCACCCCGAAATCTCTTTCCCCTGCAGCTTTTTACGATTGTTTCTCAAACGCCCGTCCATACTAAAGCAATTAGACCGTTTATCTGAAATAACTGAGGGAAATCGCTGCATGCCGCAAAGAGAAGAGTGTGCAAATCTACCAGAGGCAGGTGGAGGTGCTGTTTGATGTGCGTTTGTTTTTATCTTATGGTAGAAATACAGTTTACCAAAGCTCGGGAATCAGGCGACAGTGAGCAGATGTTTGTGATCTTTGAGTAGAATATCTTTCATGCTTTCTGTAGGTGATGCCCTGGTTGCTGTGGATGATGTGGACGTCACCTCAGAAAACATCGAGAGAGTTTTGTCCTGTATACCGGGTCCCACACAGGTAAGTGTGCATTTTTGCCTACATATACATTAATTGGGATACATTTGAAAACACATCTTTTGAGACACCTTGTTCACGCGATTTTTTTTTTGGTGTGGATCTGAGTGCGATCGCCTAAATGAACTTGACTAAGGGAGAAAACCATAGACTGTAAAAAAAATTATATGGACGTAGTGTCCGTGACGTCACCTGTAGGTTTCTGAAGAGCATTTTTGAAGCCCAAAGTGGGCGGAGCCAGCCGTCGCCATCTTGGCAGCGCGTCACTCCCGGATTACCAAAAATAGGCAAAGAGGCGATTAGCCGAGGTGACGTGACGCTAACAGACTGCAGACAAACGGCTAGTAGTGACATCAGCGGCAATCTACCTGTCACTCAAGTGGCCACGCCCTTAATTATGCAGAACTTTAAGGCCTAATATAATTTTACGGAAGCCCTGAACCGCAACGTAAAAAAAAAAAACTAGCATTTCAAGATTAAAGGTGAAACATTTCGAGAGTACAGAATACAGTCTTCCGTAGACCTTGCGTGTGTGCTTGCCATTGTTTCACATTGCCGCACACACAGGCATTCATAATGGTGCATATACACTCACCGGCCACTTTATTAGGTACACCTGTCCAACTGCTCGTTAACACTTAATTTCTAAGCAGCCAATCACATGGCGGCAACTCAGTGCATTTAGGCATGTAGACATGGTCAAGACAATCTCCTGCAGTTCAAACCGAGCATCAGTATGGGGAAGAAAGGTGATTTGAGTGACTTTGAACGTGGCATGATTGTTGGTGCCAGAAGGGCTGGTCTGAGTATTTCAGAAACTGCTAATCTACTGGGATTTTCACGCACAACCATCTCTAGGGTTTACAGAGAATGGTCCGAAAAAGAAAAAACATCCAGTGAGCGGCAGTTCTGTGGGCGGAAATCCCTTGTTGATGCCAGAGGTCAGAGGAGAATGGCCAGACTGGTTCGAGCTGATAGAAGGGCAACAGTGACTGAAATAACCACTCGTTACAACCGAGGTATGCAGCAAAGCATTTGTGAAGCCACAACACGCACAACCTTGAGGAGGATGGGCTACAACAGCAGAAGACCCCACCGGGTACCACTCATCTCCACTACAAATAGGAAAAAGAGGCTACAATTTGCAAGAGCTCACCAAAATTGAACAGTTGAAGACTGGAAAAATGTTGCCTGGTCTGATGAGTCTCGATTTCTGTTGAGACATTCAGATGGTAGAGTCAGAATTTGGCGTAAACAGAATGAGAACATGGAACCATCATGCCTTGTTACCACTGTGCAGGCTGGTGGTGGTGGTGTAATGGTGTGGGGGATGTTTTCCTGGCACACTTTAGGCCCCTTAGTGCCAATTGGGCATCGTTTAAATGCCACGGCCTACCTGAGCATTGTTTCTGACCATGTCCATCCCTTTATGGCCACCATGTACCCATCCTCTGATGGCTACTTCCACTATGTCACAAAGCTCTAATCATTTCAAATTGGTTTCTTGAACATGACAATGAGTTCACTGTACTAAAATGGCCTCCACAGTCACCAGATCTCAACCCAATAGAGCATCTTTGGGATGTGGTGGAACGGGAGATTCGCATCATGGATGTGCAGCCGACAAATCTGCGGCAACTGTGTGATGTCATCATGTTAATATGGACCAAACTCCCTGAGGAATGCTTCCAGCACCTTGTTGAATCTATGCCACGAAGAATTGAGGCAGTTCTGAAGGCAAAAGGGGGTCCAACCCGTTACTAGCATGGGGTACCTAATAAAGTGGCCGGTGAGTGTATATATAGCGAGTGTTTCACACTGTGTGTGTGTGTGTGTGTTTTGTTTCAACAAAAGGAAATTCAACAGGTGCCAATCTACCAGCATTAGGGTACCATTATAGGACGTTATAAAATATACTGCGCCGGAATAGACTTTAGCCTATAGGAAAACCAACCCGGAAAACACTTTTCAGACTGGATGGAGATATCCAGCTTTATGAATGAATTAATGAATGAATGAGGCATTTATATAGCGCTTTCATATGTCTACACTCAAAGCGCTTTACAATCATATCAGAGAATCTCTCCTCAACCACCATTAGTGGTTATTAAATCTGAGGAAATCACCGGACCCTGCCAAATGATTGGATACAGAATGATAAAATGTATCCAGAACGTGTTTACGGTGAAGAGGGAGACAGAACGGTTACTGTTGTGTTCTCGACCCAGATAGTGTTGCCTAGACGAGCACGAAAACATTTAAAGGGGGGGTGAAACACTCAGTTTCAGTCAATCTCATGTTAATCTTGAGTACCTATAGAGCATCCATCATATCTCCAAAAAGTCTTTAGTTTTATTATATTTATAAAAGAAAGATAGGCTGTACCGAGTCTTTCCGGAAAAAGCCGAGCGGGTGGAGGCGTGCCGTGTGGGCGGAGCTAACACGCCGATAGACACACACAGATATTTGAAGCAGTTCTACTCACCGCCTGCGGTTCCAACGCAAGACCGTTAACCTTTAGTGTTGGGACTGCTCCATCCTTGAGAACTAAACGATTAGCAAATCCGGCTTCAAACTGGGCCTTGTTTATAAAAAAAATCATCCTGGAAATGCATGGAACAAACCAGAACACTTGCACAACTGTGTTGATGTTCTGGAAAAACAAACTCCATCCACTGGTCCCTCAACGCTTGATTCTTTGGGAATCTGTGCAGTGTTGTCTTGCCTTGGCAACCGAAAACACACTTCTTTGGTGACATATTGAGCGCAGCCGATGCACAGCGCTTTGATGGGCATAGGTTACGGCTATCGCTCTACAGCTGCGCCCGCGCCCTTCCGAGAGAAGTCCCCTTAGGACCGTATAAGGAAATTCCGGCGCATCTGACGTCATACGCGCCCATACTCGAAAAAAACTTTCCGAAACTTGTGACAACCAGGAAGGAGTATTTTGAGAACAGAAATACTCAATCAAACGTACAACTTAATTTTTGAAACTTTGTCCATGTTTAGCATGGGAATCCAACTCTTTAACAGTGTAAAACACTCACTATGCATGAAATAGCATTTCACCCCCCCCTTTAAAAAACACTGCCACATAAAGTTTGGACCATTGTGATACTCCGACCGAGTCTGTGCGCTCGTCTATAGGCAATTCTTGTTGGTAGATTAGCACCTGTGTAGAATTTTGTTGAAAGCCCAGATAACACACACACACACACACGCGCGCGCGCTCTTAGCCAGTGGACGCGCACTGTTATGAATGCACACACTTCTATGGAAGACTGTATTATCGTAATGTTTCGACTTTAATCTCGAAATGTTTCGACTTTAATCTCGAAATGTTTCGACTTTAATCTCGAAATGCTAGTTTTTTGTTTTTAGGGTTTTTTTACGTTGCGGTTTCGACTTTAATCTCGAAATATTTCGACTTTAATCTCAAAATGCTTTTTTTTTTTACTGCTTTTTTTTATTTATTTTTACGTTGCGGTTCAGGGCTTCCGTATAATTTAAACGGATGCGTTATAAAAAAAATTCACCCCCCTCACAGTTGTCATGAAGGGCAAAATTAGCTATATAGACCAATAGGGGTGTAACGGTACATGTATTCGTATTGAACCGTTTCGGTTCGATGCTTCCGGTTCGGTACGCATTCAAACCGAACGATTCCTTGGACCATTTTTCCTGCCGACAAAATTCGCGCTGGCGCGACCACCACAGCGTTGCGCAACATCAAATGGCAAGCGTAATGAAAGCGGAACGAAACTGCGTTACTCATTATGTGCTTCACGGGTCGTTTATCAGTTCGGACCAGCAACATCTGTGCAGCGCGAGCCGATCGACTCGATCAAGCGACACTGTTACAACACAGCGCTAAGATCCAGTAAAGAAAACATTTGAATTCGCCACTGAAGTAATAACATTGCTGCGAGATCTAGTGAGAAGCATTCACATTTCTCCGTTATTAACCGTAGATCTCTATTAGATCAAACAGCGCTGACGTGGGAACCAGGAGAAACATTGTGCCGTGAATGAACTAGTAATACTTTACGTCCACAGACCAGCAACATTCACCATGGATTTAATATAGTAACACTCACTGTAACCAGTTTGGCTGGAATAGTGAAATGCTTTCAAGTACTTCACACATCTTTTTCCAGCACTTCAAACCTCAAATATTATATAAATAAATATAAGAGTTCAGATGCAAACGCCTCTAAGTGCCATTTGAAATTTTCTTCTAGAATGATCATTTTTATGAAGCTTGTATATTTAAGTTCAGTAATTTCACTCAAATGACAATTAATAGGTAATCTTCATTGCCATTTAAGTGAAATTACTGAACTTAAATATACAAGCTTGATAAAAATGATCATTCTAGAAGAAAATTTCAAATGGCTTTTGCATCTGAACTCTTCATATATTTAAATGTTATTTTTAATGTGATGACCAAAACATTATTTGTTCATCCTTCAAAGATGACCCCCATTTATAAACCTGAAAGTTTCAAGATGTAGGAAAACTCACACTTATTTAAAAAATATTTTTTCTTTTAATAAATAGGAAATTTCTCTGGCATTTCTTACTTTTTGCTGTATCGAAAACGTACCGAACCGTGACTTTAAAACCGAGGTACGTACCGAACCGTGATTTTTGTGTACCGTTACACCCCTATAGACCAAAACCACTTTTTGCACCAGGCTGTAAACACATTTTTTCTGCTGTAAAGTTGGACATTTTAACATGGGAGTCTATGGGATTGACTCTCTTTTGCAGCCGGTCTCTAGTGGCCAGTCGATGAACTGCAGTTTAACTCACTTCTGTGTTTGATTCAAGAGAGAGACCGGAAGGTTGCCGCTTGGAGAAAACACACCAGGTTCTGAAACAAATGCTCCAAACGAGTCTAAATGCTTAAAACTGAGACAAAGCTTGAACAATGAAAATGAACAAATGTTTGGCTCATAATGTTTATTTCACTCTATACAGCAGTCGACAGCCGTTCAACC